TACCCAGGCTGGAGTGCAATGGCGCAATCTCGGCTCACCGCAACCTCCGTCTCCTGGGTTCAGGCAATTCTCCTGCCTCAGCCTCCTGAGTAGCTGGGATTACAGGCACGTGCCACCGTGCCCAGCTAAGGTTTTGTATTTTTAGTAGAGACGGGGTTTCACCATGTTGACCAGGATGGTCTCGATCTCTTGACCTCGTGATCCACCCGCCTCGGCCTCCCAAAGTGCTGGGATTACAGGCTTGAGCCACCGCGCCCGGCCCCCTGGCTAATTTCTTAAACTATTTGTAGAGATGAGGTCTTGCTTTGTGGCCCAGGCTGGTCTTGAACTCCTGGCCTCAAGTGATGCTCCAGGCTTGACCTCCCACAGCACTGGGTTTACAGGCATGAGCCATCATGCCCAGAATAAAAGTCTTAAAATTTGAATTTTATTTTATTATTATTGTTTTTATGTTTGAGACAGAGTTTCGCTCTTCTTGCCCAAGCTGGAGTGCAATGCCATCATCTCGGCTCACTGCAATCTCTGCCTCCAGGGTTCACGCAATTCTCCTGCCTCAGCCTCCCGAGTTGCTGGGATTACAGGTGCCTGCCACCATGCCCAGCTAACTTTTTGTATTTTTAGTAGAGAGACGGGATTTCACCATGTTGGCCAGGCTGATCTTGAACTCTTGACCTCAGGTGACCCACCCACCTTAAAGCTGGTATTATAGGTGTGAGCCATTGTGCCAGGCCTACAATTCTGAATTTTAGGACTGTTCTACTTTGAAATTTTTATTACAAATTGAAATTTACATGAGTATGCATATTAAAAACAATCTTAATATATTAAAACTATCCAAATACTTTCATAAAACATTACATTAATTATGCTCAGAGGATAATCAGGTATAGCCCAATTGTTCTTGAGTGCCAGGTTGAGGGATCAGCATTTAAAGAATAAAGTTTATTTCAGAGGCAACAGGAAAGGTACTTTATTAAATAAAACTCTTTTCACTGGCAATAGTAAAGAACTGCTGATGGCTCTTGAATAACAGCAACACCTACAAAAGATTAATGTATATGTGGCAGGAAGGAGAGAGCCAGGAAGCAAAGACTCCAATTAAGAGACTATGAACAGTCCTGAAAAGCCAAAAACAATGGCTTTCCTTTGGGTCCTGACAGCACAAATCCAAGTGATGCTGGGATATAAATAAGGATATAATTCAAGGAGCATTAATTTACTTTTGCGGGCAGGAGAATTGGTATTTTTTGGCCCTTTCCAGGCCCTTTTTTCCTTTTTTTTTTTTTAACCTCATGCATGGATAATTTTTATTATTAAGATTTTAAAAACCCATGTTATTATTATTATTTTTTTAAGACTGAGTCTCACTCTGTCACTCAAGCTGGAGTGCAGTGGCTTACCACAACCTCTACCTCCCTGGTTCAAGTAATTCACCTGCCTCAGCCTCCCGAGTATCTGGGATTACAGCTGCCTGCCAACGTGTCCAGCTACTTTTTGTATTTTTTAGTAGAGATGGGGTTTCGCCATGTTGGCCAGGCTGGTCTTGAACTCCTGACCTCAGGTGATACGCCCACCTCAGCCTCCCAAAGTGGTGGGATTACAGGCATGAGCCACTGTGCCCAGCCCTATTTTTCAAAAAGAGAAAATTACTGAAACATATACCCATGAACTGAATGATACAAGAGGTGGCAGGGAGGGGACTGTCTGTGTGAGGGAAACAAAGGAAAATTTAAAAATAATTCAGAAGATTAGTCTGAATGAAAGAACAGCAGTTATAAAAATCAAAGGAAAATAATCAGAAGAAGCAAGCTTTACTTAAAATGAATAGCAGAACAGTTCATTACAGACTATTACAATTTCCTACCTGTGTCAATCCTGACGCTTTGAATAACTCCTGTGGTGATCTGCTTCCATAGTAACTATTTGGAGAATGAAGTGACAACAGTCTGCTATATATTTTGTTTCTAACCTATAAAAAACAGCATTTTATACTTTAAACATTAATCAAGACAAACTTGGAAGATTATGGTCATTATGACAGCTGTATTGAGAGGAAATTCACCCTTTTAAAGTATAAAATTCAGTGTTGTGTGTTTTGTTTTGTTTTGTTGAGACAGTCTCTGTTGCTCAGGCTGGAGTGCAGTGGTGTGATCTTGGCTCACTGCAGCCTTGACCTCCTGGCTCAGGTGAACCTCCATCTCAGCCTCCTGAGCAGCTGAGTCTATAGGTGCGTGTCCCCAATGCTGGGCTAATTTTTTTGTATTTTTCGTAGAGACAGGGTTTTACCATGTTGCCCACAATGATCCAAACTTCTGGACTCAAGCGATCCTCCCACTTGAGCCTCCCAAAGTGCTGGGATTACATGTGTGAGCCACCATACCTGGCCTCAGTGGTTTTTTTTTTTTACTATATTCACACAGTTGTGTGACTATCACCATCATCTGACTTTAGAAATTTTTTATCACCTCAATAGAAATCCCACAGTCATTAACAGCTACTTCTCAATTCTGTCTCCTTCCCATTCCCTGACACATACTAATCTAATTTCTGTCTCTATGGATTTGCCTGTTCTGGACATTTCATATAAACTGTAGATTATGTTTTTAACTTCTCTATGGTACTTGCTGAAGTCAAGCCATGTAAGTTTTACAAAAACATTTTTTTTTTTACAAAATGTTGTAAAACACCATTGTTGTAAAACTATTTTACAAAATAGTTTTATTTAAAAAAAATTTATTAAAAAAATTTTGTAAAACGATTTTTACAAAATAGAAAGATCACTAGACTCTGAATTAGAAAACTTGCTCAAGTCTACTTCAAATTTAGTTCTGCAATTTATTAATCATCTTGGCAAATTAATTTACGAGTCTCATTTGTAAATTAAACATAATATCTATCCTTATAGTATTGTGAATTATTCAGGGCCATACAAATGCAAAGTTACAAAATTCACTTATAGTTTCTTTAATTATTAAAAAAGAATAGCGGATTTTACCTTTTTTTTTTTTTTGTGAGCTGGAGTCTTACTCTGTCACCCAGGCTGGAGCACAGTGGCACAATTTCGGCTCACTGTAACCTCCACCTCCAGAGTTCAAGCAGTTCTCCTGCCTCAGTCTCTTGAGTAGCTGGGATTACAGGTGTGCATCACCACATCCAGCTAACTTCTGTATTTTTAGAAGAGATGGGGGTTTCACCATGTTGGGCAGGCTGGTCTCAGACTTTTGACCTCAAGTGATCCAGCCACCTTGGCCTCCCAAAGTGCTAAGAATATAGGGTGAGCTATTGCACCCAGCCAGAATCTGCATTATTTATTTATTTATTTATTTATTTACTTTGGAGATGGAGTTTCGCTCTTGTTGCCCAGGCTGGAGTGCAATGGCATGATCTTGGCTCACTGCAATCTCCACCTCCTAGGTTCAAGTGATTCTCCTGCCTCAGTCTCCCAAGTAGCTGGGATTACAGGCATGGACCACCATGTCTGGCTGATTTTTGAAGTATTAGTAGAGATGGGGTTTTACCATGTTGGCCAGGCTGGTCTTGAACTCCCGACTTCAGGTGATCCACCTGCCTTGGCCTCCCAAAGTGCTGGGATTACAGGCATGAGCCACTGCGTCTGGCCAAATTTGCCACATTTAATCTCAAGGTTGTTATGAAGATTAGATACTTTACACAAATGTGCTTTTAAGACAATGAAGTTATACAAACATCCAGTACTTAGCAGGGGCAGACTTAGTTTAATTACATGATACAGCTTCCTGTAAAACACATGCTTTGTGTTTTCCTATGAAGGAAAACTTTCTTGCAACAGTAAAAAGACTTCCTTTTGTAAAATAAGAAAAATGGTCTTTAAACAACTGAATCAAATCATCAATACGTAAACCTGAGTTCCACAGAAGAATGGAAAATTAGTTATTGTGTATGCTAATGTGGGTCTTCTGAAAAGCAGATGCCAAACAGAATTAAAATGCAAAGATTTTACTAGGGGAGATGCCTATGAGAGAAAATGAGAGAGCTATGCAATGTAGGGAAAGCTGTCAGACTATAATACATGTCTGACCCCAAGTGAATGAGAGAGGGAAGGAAGGCTGAGCCCAAGCAGCCTCAGTAATGAGCCCAAGCTTACACAGCTAGTGGTGGAGACAGTACTTGGAACCCAATAATCTGGCTTTAGAGCATATGCACTTAACAATTTACGTTACTTAAGAATTTACTATATTCTTAGAAGAAACAGATTCACCATTGTTTTTGAATTTCCAACCAATCTAATTTAATAAATCCAGTCATAGCTTACATATTGTATATTACCTCACAATTGAATGCAATGAGGCACTCCCAATTCTACTACTTTATCTAGCCATAGATATAAAAGCTGAACTCCCCCAAAACTGAAACATAAACAAATCTCAACAAAAATTCATATGCTGATTAGCCCCCAAACTATATATTTTTTCCTCTAACATTTTGTCTTGACAAAAGAGTACAGCCCAAAGTTCCATTAGAGTTCACTAGCTGGAATCTTATTTGAGGTTAGTACTTCGGGATTTCCTGAAACCATAGTACATACCTCTTTTTTGAAATTGAGAAAGTAATTGGATTGGTCAACATGAAAAATCTCAAGGGCTGATCTTCTTAAGTTGTAACGCCGGAGGTGAATCTCTCGAATTTGAGAATGAGGCCACTTGAAATCAAAGCCTACTCCTGAAAACAGAAGAAATCTTGTGACTGAAGTACCATATAAAGTTATGTAGAAAATACCTCAGTTCTTGAAGGTTTTAGGAAAAATAAATTTAATTTCTATACTATATAAACCATTTGTTAAATGCGTGGGATATTTAAACTGGTTCTTTTAAAACTATTTTAAAGTTCTATAACTATTCTACTGCCTTCCTATTAGAATACAAGATAATTCTTAATATATCTCAGAAAGTTTTCCTTTTCTCTATATGTTGGCATCTTAGATTTAATCATCCTTTTATTATCATATAAAGGATGACAAGGGAAGCCTATAGGAATAAGCACACATACAAAGGCATGATAAAATAAAGACTATATTAGGCTGGGTGCAGTGGCTCACGCCTATAATTCCAGCACTTTGGGAGGCTGAGGTGGGCAGATCACCTGAGGTCGGGAGTTTGAGACCAACCTGACCAACATGGAGAAACCCTGTCTCTACTAAAAATACAAAATTAGCCGGGCATGGTGGCACATGCCTGTAATCCCAGCTGCTCGGGAGGCTGAGGCAGGAGAATCACTTGAACCTGGGAGGTGGAGGTTGCAGCGAGCAGAGATCACACCAACGCTCTCCAGCCTGGGCAACAAGAGCAAAACTCTGTCTCAAAAAAAAAAAAAAAAAAATGAAGACTGTAATTTGTAACTTAAGTTTACAGCAATTCCCTCTAGCCAAACCCTTTGAAATGAATTGATAATAACTTTTAAAAAGCATTCTCTTCCACACCTTGATGAATAACAAATTTAACCCCACACTGACTATCCATTTCTCCTTTTACTTGATAGACTACAATTTCACAATTCTATCTTACCACTTTCTTCTTCTCATTTGTGATTAATAAATTGGATACTTAAGTACTGAATAACAAAAATTATTTTTTCCAGAATTCCTCACCATCTTCTTTTTCAATGCTGCCATCATAGAAGTAAATGTGTTGAGTAGTGATTTCTAGTCTGCCAGGAATTACATCAATTATGGTAATGAGTTCACAGTCTTCCATCAATATCAATTTTTCTTTTTGTTCCTGTTCTTTTTCATCACTGAAAAAACAAAAAACCATTAAACAGAAAAGTCTAACCATTTATTTTTCTTAAATGCAAAATACCACATTTAAGTAGAAATCGCCCTCTTTTTTCTTTTTTTTTTTTTTTTTGAGACAGGGTCTTGCTCTGTCACCCAGGCTTGAGTGCAGTGGCACAATGTCAGCTCCATCACTGCAACCTCTGCCTCCCAAGCTCAAACCATCTTCCCACCTTAGCCTCCCAAGTAGCTGGGACTACAGGTGCATGCCACCATGCCCTGCTAATTTTTATATTTTTTGTAGAGACAGGGTTTTGCCGTGTTACCCAGGCTAGTCTTGAAATCCTGAGCTCAAGGGATCCACCCACCTTGGTCTCCCAAAATGCTGGGATAATAAGCATGAGCCACTGTCCCTGGCCTCAAATATAAATCTCATTATATAATCTCATCTCATATACATATATATATATTTGTGTGTGTGTAAAATTAAACATAAATCTCATCACACATATCTCATCAAATACAAATCTCATCATATATATGTAAAATTAATGTCCAGGAAAGAATATCTGAATTACCTCAAGAAATAGTCTGCATATTAAAGTGACCAAATATTTTTATTACTCAAGGATTCAGTTTCATTAAAAATAAGCTTTACATTTTGACTTTATACAGACCATTATAATAAAATATAGTGACCCTATAAAACAACTAGCAGAGGACAATTGAAAAATAAGGTAATATTGGTCATGTCATTTTATATTCTGGTAGACATGAATTGACCCACAAAATATATGAATCTGTGACTAAGACTGCACTGTAGTGTTGTTTTGTAAATGAGTTTTAGAAGTACTAAATATGAACCTTAAATTATAAAATGAGACTTTTCAACAGTAACTAAAACTAAAGCATCACCATCACAGTAACCCGCTAACAAGGGAACTGAAAATAATGTAAAGAGCTACTATTGCCATACCTTACTTAAAGTGAAGTCACCTTATAATAGGAGGAATGTTACTTATATTGGCTGGAGAAAGTAACTGGAAAAGGAGACAGTCTTTTGGTGACCTAGGTGACTTTAACTGCCAAGTGTAGAAATTGGAGCTCCTATTAATCACAGAATGTTACTCAAGTAAATCTTTTAAGCCAGCTACTCTCTGATCCTAGACATTTCATATCTGCCTCATGTCCAGGGTACCAATGACTAAGTCTAATTTAATTTTCAGTGGGTTTCCATGAAGCAGTTCCGTATCACCAACTTAAGTTTGTAATGTTGCAACTATTTACTTTAAACTAAGCTTTTCTTTTAAAAAAAATAATTACCAGAAAGAAGGTTTTCCCAAACACTTAAATACTAATATTTACAGTGATAAAGAGAGGAATGTGTAACCCTAAAAAAGAAAATAGTCTGAGGGTTATTTACATTAAATGACAAAAAGTGTTTTGGTTCTTCAGTTTAAAACGAATGAGTCTGACATCCATCAAATTCACTCGTCATCAAAGAAAGAAAAAAAAAATCCCAATTAGAAAGCCGACTGAATATTTACCAAGATAGTCCCCTGTATAACTGCTCCTACTGAGTACCCTGAAAATAATCAAGGAAATCTAAAAATATTACTGAACTAATATAAATAAAAATCCTGATTATGCCACCAAAGGATACTACTGAATCTAGTCAATCTGTAATATACAAATTTTTTGAGACAGGGTCTCACTCTTATCCAGGCTAGAGTGCAGTGGTGCAACCTCACCTCATAGCAACCTCCACCTCCCAGGCTCAAGCAGTCCTCCCACTTCAGCCCCCCAAGTAGAGGTGCACACCACCACACCAAGTTAATTTTTTGTATTTTTGATAGAGACGGAATTTTGCCATGTTGCCCAGGCTGGTCTGGAGCTCCTGAGCTCAAGTGATCTGTCCACCTGGGCCTATCAAAGTACTGACAAACTGAAGGCAACCATGCCTAGCCCTCAATTTGTAATATTAAACTAAGCTTCAAAGAAATATTTGCCATGTGTAATTTAAAATGTAAACAAATAACATATTTGGGACACAGCTACTCATTCTTGGTTGAACATGTGGCTTTACGAACATAGAAAGTTAAATATTAGGCTGGGCGCAGTGGCTCACACCTGTAATCCCAGAATTTTGGGCGGCTGAGGTGGGCAGATCACTTGAAGTCAAGAGTTTGAAACCAGCCTGGCCAACATGGTGAAACCCATTTCTGCAAAAAATTAGCTGGGCATAGTGGCATGAGCCTATAATTCCAGCTACTTGAGAGGCTGAGGCACGAGAATCGCTTGAACCTGGGAGGCGGTGGTTGCAATAAGACAAGATCATCTCTCTCTGTCACCCAGGCTGGAGTGAAGTAGTGCAATCTCAGCTCATTGCAACCTCCGCCTCCTGGATTAGAGTGATTCTCCTGCCTCAGCCTCCTGAGTAGCTGGGCGTGGTGGCAGGACTACAGGTGCCCACCACCATGCCTGGCTAATTTTTTTTTTTTTTTTTTTTTTTTGAGACGGAGTTTCACTCATGTTACCCAGGCTGGAGTGCAATGGCGCGATCTCGGCTCACCGCAACCTCTGCCTCCTGGGTTCAGGCAATTCTCCTGCCTCAGCCTCCTGAGTAGCTGGGATTACAGGCATGCACCACCATGCCCAGCTAATTTTTTGTATTTTTAGTAGAGACGGGGTTTCACCATGTTGACCAGGATGGTCTCGATCTCCTGACCTCATGATCCACCCGCCTTGGCTGGGATTACAGATGTGAGCCACCAGCCTGGCCTATTTTTTTAGAAAGAGGGTCTCACCATGTTGCTCAGGATGGTCTCAAACTCCTAGCCTCAAGTGATCCTCTTGCCTCAGCCTCCTGAATAGCTAGGATTATATTCATATGCTATAGCACCCAGATGGATCAGGGAGTTAAACAACCTCTAAGCAACGAAATGACCACCAAGCTATGCTGACCCACAGACAATCCCTACTAGGCCAGGTTTTACTATTTTACTCCTCGATAAAATTTACCATTTTTAAAGCCTACAATTCAGTGAGTTTTTTTTACTGTTTTCACAAGATAACTAAAAATTTATGTTTGCACAAAAACTTGTATATGAGTATTCATGGAAATACTATTCATAATAGCCCCAAAGTAGAAACAACCTAAATGCTCACTGACTGATGAATGGGTAAGCAAAAAGTGATTACCTATATTTTGGATAACCATAAATGGTTATAAATGGAGTATTATTTATAATATTATTCAGCCACAAAAAGAAATGCAGTACTCTTATATGCTACAACATAAATGAATCTTGAAAACATTATTCCAAATGAAAGTAAGCCAGACACAAATGAATCTTTAAAACATTATTCCAAATGAAAATCAGCCATAACACAAATTATATGAGTTATAGAAAATATTCCAAAGTAGTAAAATCCAGAGACAAAGTAGATTAGTGGTTTCCAGGGCATGTGAGAAGGGGAAAACTGGGACCGACCACTAAAAGGTACAAGATTTCCTTTTGGGGTGATAGTAATGTTCTAGAATTATATAGCAGGGATGGTTGTACAAATCTGTGAAAACAGTAAAAAAACTCACTGAATTGTAGGCTTTAAAAATGGTAAATTTTACATTTGTGAGATATATCTGGATTAATAAAAATGAATAACTCCCTGGATAACAAATGGAGAGTCTGTGGCAATCAGATCTTATTAGAAATACTAGACGGCTGAGTGCGGTGGCTCACTCTAGTGGCCTGTAATCCAAGCACTTTGGGAGGATTATGTGGGCCCAGGGGTTCGAGACCAGCCTGGGCAACACAGTGAGACCCTGTCTCTGTAAAAAATTTAAAAAATTAGCTGGATGTGGTGGTATGTCTATAGTCCCAGCTACTCAGGAGGCTGAAGCAGGAGGATCACTTAAGACTAGGAGGTGGAGGCTGGAGTGAGGTGTGATCACACCACTGTACTCCAGTTAAGGTGATACAGTGAGATCCTGTCTCCAAAAACAAAAACAAACAAACAAAAAACCCCAAACACCAAAAAAATACAAGCAAAAAAACTGGAGGAAGTCTTTTAGGATGAAAGGAAATGATATCAGATGACAAATGAATGCACACACAAAGAAATAAAGTACACAAGTATGATAACTGATAATTATGTAGCAAACATAAATAAATAATGTATATATTTGTTTTCTTCCTATAATTGCCTTAAAGACAACTACATGAAACAGCAACTATAAAACTGTATTACTGAACATATACAAAGAAGTGTAATATATAAAAGTAGCAACACAAAGAAGAGATGAAGAAATTAATATATTTTACATTTGCTTAAAGGAAGTTTTTAAGTACAAATTAAGAATTTATAAATATATTTAAGGCTTTTCAGGTTATCTGTTTCTTCTTGAGGGGGGTTTGGTAATTTGTATCTTTCAAAGAATTTGTTTCATTTAAGCTGTCAAACTTACAGGCATAAAGTCTTTTGTATTCTTTTCAATCATTTTATTATTTGTGGCAATAGCTCCTCTTTCAATCCTAATATAGGCAATTTATGTTGTTTCTCTTTTAATCAGTCTAGCTAGAGGTTTATGTTCTTTGTTTGTTTTTTTTAATAACTAGGATTTAATGTTCTTAATCTTTTTGTTTTTCTCTTTCATGAATTTCTGCTTTTGTCTTTATAATTTTCTTTCTTTTGCTTAACAGTTTATATTTTGTGCTGTACATTTCCATCTGAACACAGCTATAGCTAAATCTCACAAATAACAATATATTGATTTCATTATCATACAATTCTAAATACTTTCTATTTCAAGGTCCAGTTCTATGTTATCCCAGTTTTAAGAGGCCTTTCTTAATAATTTCAGTTAATACTGATACACTCCTAACAGCTGATAAAGCATTAACTGTTGGACCCTGGGAAAAACATGGTGGTAGATTTTCAAGCAAGTATCTTCCACGATTTTGTAATCCCCTTTCTCAGAACAAAATAATTGTAAATATTTATACATACACGTTTACTCTAGCTGTCATATCCTCTTCAGGAAGGTCTAATTTATCCTCCTCCATATCACTAACTTTTACTTGTTTCACTACTTCCAAAAGCAATGAATCACTGGAAGGCTGTGAGTGTTGGATACCTGTTTTAAACACAAAATATCTATTAAATGTAAAGTAAAAAACAATATTATAGCCCATCTGTAATTTCTGACTGTTAATTATGTTTCTGACTGTTAGATGAAAACAACATGTATATTATAAGATGGTACTTTGATACAATCTATGATGTTTGGTGGCGATTTTGACAATTACTATACATATGGTACTGTTAGATGAAAACAACATGTATATTATAAGATGGTACTTTGATACAATCTATGATGTTTGGTGGCAATTTTGACAATTACTATACATATGGTAAAAAGAATAAATGTTTTAAAAATAGTATTACTTTTAATAATGGTATTATTTGTTTAAAAAATAGGCAAAGTACTCTCTTTATATTTAATTCTAAAGGCTGCCAATAATTAAGTCAAAGGAAGAAATATTCTCATTGTATTAATGTAATAGAACTATTTTTATCATGCATTTTGTATTAAAGCAATACTAAGAAAGATTATATGATAAATTATCTTTAACTGGAAGATAATACATGGACTAAGAGTGGAAGTGTTTACTTTCTGGACCACATGGAATTTAATACATAAATCTGAGGCATATGTATGTAATACATGTAACATATTTTATAAACTAAATACCCTGTAAAAAGGCAGTGCTGGTATAATGAAAAGAACATGGTCTATGAAGTGGTGAACCTAGATTCAAATTTAATTTTGCCAGTTATTCAGTCATATGACACTTCTGAATCTATGTTTTCTTGATTGTGAAATGGAGACTTCATCACAAGGTTGTTATATATATGAAAGGTAATATATGTGAAACACCTGGTACACATTAAATAGGAAATAAATGATAGCTACTATTTTATATTTACCTTCCAATTATCTGACTGAAATAAGAACAATAATACAAATATGTGCATAATTTATAGGTAGGATTGGAAAAAAGTTATACTTAACTATGAATAAAGACATTTCACTCATGGCAAATAAAAATAATTCATATAAAATATATAAAATAAAACAATAATGCAAATAACTATAAATAACAAAACACTATAAAGATGACACTGCAAACCAAATATTTATACTGATACATTTAAGAATATATTTTCTTTTTGACTCTTCAAGTACCCTAATTTACACGTGGTTATGTTCCAAAAAATACTTCATAAGTCAGCTGTTTGGAATTAGCAATGGATTTTCCATCCAAAATAATACTACAAATAATGGTTAGCTTTGCAGGTTAGCCCATAATGTAAACACTATTCTATATATCTGCAATGGGTTGCTTATAAAAAGCAGTATTGGGGTAAGTAAAGCAAGACAAGATAATATTTTTAAAAAAGAATATCATGAATTCTGGTAGTTAATGAAAATACTCTGTATAGACAAAACTAAGGAGTAGGCAAAACATTTTGCAGTTAATTCTGAAGTGTACTTCAAAGAACTTTAAAGGTTTTAAATATTGATGCTTTTTAAAATAATTTCCAATTTCACTTTGAAATATAGAAATTCTTTTTCTGTACAGTTTTATTGTCACTATTATATTTGGGGTAAAATTTTTAAATGAGAAAAACAAAACAAAAGAACAACTGAGACTAAGTAGGGACATAAAAATGTATCTGTGTCCATGTGTAGACAGGTGAGAAGGAGAGGAAAAAAGAGAGGGAACTTTATGGAATGAGATTTCTTGGCAAAAGTCAATAAAATAATATGGAACACTATTCCTTAAGTAATTATTAAACTCATTTACCAAAGGATGTTTGTTGGGTGAAAAGGGTAGTAGTTATATCTCAAAGAGTAGAGAAAGATACTTATAGAAGAGGATACAAGATTCTTTCAGAGAAAAATCTATACCCAACTGGCTTTTGCTATGTAAGATAACACTCAAAGTTAGTGTTTATATCATGGACAGGGCCATTATTTTGAATTAATAAATCAGATACACTTAGTGTATCTGATTTATTTCAAAATGTAAGACCCTAAATGGCAGGCACCATGGCTCTCTTACTTCATTTTATGACATCAAATGTATTGGCCATATGTTAAGGCAATTTAAAAAATAAGATCTGGCCAGGCATGCTGGCTCATGCCCGTAATTCTAGCATTTTGGGAGGCTGAGGTGGGAGGATTGCCACTTGAGCCCAGGAGTTCAAGACCAGCCTGGGCAATACGGTGAGGCCTTGTCTCTACCCCCCCCAAAAAAAAAAAAAAAAAAAAAAAAAAAAAAAGCTGGGCATGGCATGGTGGTATGCATTGGTAGTCCCAGCTAATTAGGAGGCTGAGGCAGAAGGGTCACTTAAGCCTAGGAGGTCAAGGTTGCAGTGAGCCATGTTCAAGTCTCTGTACTCTAGCCTGGTCAACAGAGGGATACCCAGTCTCAAAAAAAAATAAAAATAATTTTAAAATGACATCTAAAAGTTGGTACTCATGTCATCCATAACTACAACTTAATATACCTATGCCTACCAATGATTTGTTGTTGGTCGTGGTGGTGTTGAGAAGGAGTTTCACTCTTGCTACCCAGGCTGGAGTGTAATGGCACGATTTCGGCTCACTACAACCTCCACCCCTGGGGCTCAAATGATTCTCCTGCCTCAGCCTCCCGAGTAGCTGGGATTACAGGTGCTCGTCAGCATGCCCAGCTAATTTTTTATATTTTAGTAGAGACAGGGTTTCACTATTTGGCCAGGCTGTTCTCGAACTCCTGACCTCAGGTGATCCTCCTGCCTCAGCTTCCCAAAGTGCTGGGATTACAGGTGTGAACTACTGTGCCTGGCTCAATGATTCTTGATAAACAACATTTTGGGGTATTTCACAGACCTATCTTCAAAAAGGGAGAGATGACAAGTGAGACAGTTATAAAGGAAGGGCTTCCCAAAGAGTTACAGAAACACTTTAAGATCTGTTTTGAAATACTGTCAGGCTAAATTTTTGTGGTTTGTTTTGAGATGGAGTTTCACTCTTGTTGCCTAGGTTGGAATGCAGTGGTGTAATCTCAGCTCACTGCAACTTTTGCCTCCCAGGTTCAAGCAATTCTCCTGCCTCATCCTCCTGAGTAGCTGTGATTACAGGCACCCACCACTATGCCTGGCTAATTTTTTGTATTTTTAGTAGACATGGGGTTTCATCATGTTGGCAAGACTGGTCTTGACCTCCTGACTGCAAGTAATTTTTTTTTCTAGAAAAAGGCATTGGCCAATCTAAGATATAAAAGGTCTAGAGCTCTATTAAAAATAGGTTATAATAGGCCAGGCGTGGTGGCTCATGCCTGTAATTCCAGCACTTTGAGAGGCCGAGGAGGGCGGATCACCTGAGGTCAGGAGTTCAAAGCCAGCCTGACCAGCATGGAGAAACCCTGCCTCTACTAAAAATACAAAATTAGCCGGGTGTGGTGGTGCATGCCTGTAATTCCAGCTACTCAGGAGGCTAACACAGGAGAATCACTTGAACCTGGGAGGCGGAGGTTGCAGTAAGCCGAGATCAAGCCATTGCACTCCAGCCCAGGCAACAAGAACAAAACTCTGTCTCAAAAAAAAAAAAAAAAAAAAAGTAATAATAAAAGACATAAAGGATGGCTAAGAATTCTGGCTGGGCACAGTGGCTCGTGCCTATAATCCTAGTACTTTGGGAGGCAGAAGTGGGCAGATCACTTAAGGTCAGGAGTTTGAGGCCAGCCTGGCCAAGATGGCAAAATCCCATCTCTACTAAAAATACAAAAATTGGCCAGGTGTGGTGACATGTGCCTGTAGTCCTAAGCTATTCAGAGGCTGAGGCATGAGAATTGCTTGAACGCAGGAAGCGGAGGTTGCAGTGAGCTGAGACTGCACTACTGCACTTCAGCCTGGTGACAGAGCAAGACTCTGTCTCAAAAAAAAAAAAAAAAAAAGATTGCTAAGAATTTTATCTTAGTGTTAGCCTCAGTGTTAATGAGCAAAAAAACACTGTTTACATTGCAAGAGATACAGTAGTTGTATGCAGTACACTTTTATAATTAAAATTTTTTTCTTTTAGAAATTATAATCAATGTAAGTATGAAATCACCTTGGATTTAGGCCAAATGTAACAGTACTGAAAACATATAATCATTTAAATATCAATTATAAAATCCCACCCTTCCTTCATAAGTAAACACATTTAAAACAACTAATAAAATAACAATCATCAACCCCCAAAACACTCTCATTATCTTCAACAAATAATTAAAGGTCATTGGAACTCACCCAGATTATCTCTTAAGGCACTAGCTTCCTCGTGGGTTTTGAAATTATAATTCGGTACCAGCTTAAGTCTCATACGGGAATAATTCTCTACATTAGCTAGCTTCCAATGAATTGGATTCTGTTTCCTAAGAATATTCATAAGCAAAAAAGTAAAATTATTTAGCTTAAGTTACAAAGATTGTTTGACTTAAATAGTGTAAAAAAGTTTCAAGTACTTTACATTTGTTTAGTACCATTTTATTTATTTTTTATTTTTTATTTTTTGAGACAGAGCCTCATTCTGTCACCCAGGCTGGAGTGTAGTAGCACAATCTTGGCTCACTGCGCCTCCTGGATTCAAGTGATTCCTGTGCCTCAGCCTCCCAACATAGCTGCGATTACAGGCATGTAATCGCAGCTAATTTTGGTAATTTTAGTAAAGATGGGGTTTTGCCATGTTGGTCAGGCTGGTCTCGAACTCCTAGCCTCAAACAATTTGCCTGCCTTGGCTTCCCAAAGCGCTGGGATTACAGGTGTGAGCCACCATGCCCAGCCTGTTTAAGCACCATTTTATAAAACTGTTCACACTTTTGATCTCATTTAATCCAAATAACTCTGATAGAACCAAAGCAAGTATGCATAGCTGTACTTTATACATAAGGAATCTAAAACAGACTAAATTATTTGCCCAAGATGACATGAGGTTTACAGGTATCAGAAATAAGATATGAACATGGACTTTCAGACTTACAGCTTGATATCTTTACTCTTTCACTGTTAAATAGAAGTTCTTAACTATCTACACACATGGTTTATATTTCCGATAGTTTTCAAAATAAAAAATAATTTTACTACAAATAAAGACAAAATAATCGCAAGTGGATCAAAGATCTAAATATAAGAGCTAAAACTATAAAACTCTTAGGAGAAAAGATAAGGATAAAAGTTCATGATCTTGGACCTGGGAATGGTTCCTTAGATATGACACCAAAAAAATTAAAAAAAATTAAACTGGAGTTCATTAAAATTAAAATCTTACCTGTATAAAAAAGGCCACTATTAAGAAAGTGAAAAGACAATCTACATATGTGGAAATCACATACATGATAAGGGTCTATTATTGAGAATACACACACACACACACACACACACACACACACACACACTATACAATTCAACAAAAAAATCAAACAATCTAAAAATGAGCAAAGGACTTGAGAAGACATTGTTCCAAAAAAAATGTAAAAATGGCCAAGAAGAACATGAAAGGATGCTAGACATCATTGATCATTAGGAAATGGAAAATGAAATAATAAAAAACCACCTTACTTCCACTAGGAGGTCATAATAAAAACTCAGGAAAGAATGTAGAGAAATTAGAACTCTCACACATTGCTGGTGAGAATATAAAATGATGAAGCTGCTATGAAAACCAGTTTGAGAACTCCTCAGTAAATTAAACACAGAATTAGCACACAACCCAGCAATTCCATTCATAGCCTATACTCAAGAGAATTAAAAACAAGTGTTCAAACGCTTGTACACAAATGTTACCAGTGGCACTATTCAAAATAGCCAGAAAGTGAAAAACAGCCCAAATGCCCATCAACTGATGGCTAAAGATATATCCTTAAAAGGGAATATTATTCAGTCATAAAAAGGAATAAAGTACTGATACACGCCGGGCGCGGTGGCTCAAGCCTGTAATCCCAGCACTTTGGGAGGCCGAGGCGGGTGGATCACAAGGTCAAGAGATCGAGACCATCCTGGTCAACATGGTGAAACCCCGTCTCTA